CCAAGTGTTGAGCAACGAGGCGGTGGACTCCTTTTGAGACAACAACCCCACTTATGAGTTCTGGCCAAGGAAGGAAGGACAAGGTGAGACAGTGCGAATGTGGGGAGAACAGGTATGGGCTGAACAAGGGAAGGAGAGACAGGGGCGCCAGTGTGTTGGGCCACGTGCCCATTCACTTGTTCCGGGATAACAACCCGCTATGTGATATGCTGGCTGCGAAACGAAGGAGAAGCTGAGCCTTCAGGAAACCGGGCCACCATACAGTTTCTGCCATGCAACGGTATGAAAGGTTGACCCACCTTCCCCATGCCACGGGCAACCATAGGCTCTGAACATTTAAAGAGACCCTACCCTACAACCTCTACTACTTGGTGTGCTTACCCCACGTCACAAGCAACTACACGCAACGCTTTTTGGAAGAATTTCTCCCCTACAATCTCTACCCGTTCGTCCATCTGCTGCCGTCTGACCACCTGTTCATATTCGCAGGGCAGCAGGCAATTCTCCTCAACTACACCACACATACAGTGAGTTGCGCCGTTGCACTGGACGTAACACGGTGCGCAGCACGCTTGTGGTGTTGTTGACCTCTAACCCTTGGTGCACCTGCTGCCTTCTGGCCACCTGTTCATACTTGCAGGGCTTCAGGCGATTCTTCTTCACTACAAGCACAAGCACGGTCAGTCATGAATAACTATATAGACACCCAGAGACCAGCAAAGACCATCAAAATAATGTTCCCTAAGTGATTTGAGCCCGACCAGCAAATTGATATCAGGTGTACCTCCCTCCCATCACTGGGCGCCTCTCATGTACGTATGTCCCACGCTAAGTTTTACCAAGTCTCCAACCTGCATGTCTCTCCCTTGCAAACGAATCTCAACGTCTCCTTCCATCCTTGCCCTCTCCTTCCCTACTTGCCCTCTCCTTCCCTCCTTGCCCTCTACGTCAGGTGTACCCACACTCTGCCCTATTTGGACTTCTCTTGCTTAGGCCCTACCAACGCCAACATCTTCCTTTCCTATCTACCCCGTCACTGCCTCCTCTTCTGTACACCCCCCCAGTCTCCCCCTTCCTTTACCACCCCTGTTCCCCTTTCCTTTGGGATCCCATGTCAGGTGTACCGCACTCTGCCCCCTTTGGATGTCTCTCGCTTCGGCCCTTCCAATGTCAACATCTTCCGCTCCTACCTCGTCACGGGCTCATCCGCTATGCTACAGCTATCGTCAGGTGTGTGTGTGTCACCTCGCCTCAGGTGCAGTAGGGTGCGTGCACTGGTCCTCTGCCATGCCCCAGATCTCCTACGTATATGCAACGAAGGTTTCTAAACAACGCTGCTACTACCTCGTTACTGGCTCTTCTGCCATACTCCAACTCTCCTCAGGCGTTTTCAGCAGTGCCTATGCTCACACCCGTTTCTTCTCTGTCCTCTCATTTCCTTAAAACATTGAGCACCACCCTTCCCCCTCCCTCTCCTTTCTCCCTCCGAATAAAGCTGTTGGCTACACTCCCAAGAGTTCTGCGGTGGCAGCAGCAGCAATGCGACTGAACTATTGGTTCTGTTGTGCGACAAGATGCGCACAGCTGATGGCTACATTGCCATTATTCGTCCCTTCCATTATCCCCCTCCCTCCCTCACCATCCCTCCCCCTCTTGCTTCATCGGTCCACAGCTGATAGTTATGTTCCCAGGATTCTCATCCGTGGGGGCAGCAGCAGCAAGGCAGAACTGACTAACCAGCACAACCGCAGGGGGGCGTGTCTTGAGTGTGCTGTTGTGTGTGTGTTGGGTACTTGCTCCCATGCAACCCTCTTCCATCCCCATCCCCTCCTCTCCCCAGCACCAGCTGATGGCTACACCTGTAAATACAATATTCGGTATTCGCACACTATTCGATTTTCGACAAATACCCAAACAAATTCGAATTGGCTGTTTATTCGGAGGTATTCGTGGGGTCAAATATTCGTCTCAGACGAATATTCGTTTGGGTTATTCGCAAAAGTATTCGTTTCGAAATGGCACCATATCTCGCCCTGTTGTTTAGCGGGGGGGCAAGGGGAAATGCCCGATATTGAAGAAATCAGTCGTCAGATTTCAGGGTGCTGTTAAAGTAGCCATAGCCATAGGTTTAATGACAAAAAAGGTTCATAGCCCGAGTTTGAGGCACTTTTGTATTCGTCTCCTCTTCAGCTCGCCAGTATCTGAGTCGAATTTATATTCGACGGGGAAGAAACTGATCGGTCAAATACAAATTCAGCTTATATTAGCAATTATTCGGAGAAAAATATTCGAAGTCGAATTCGTATTCGTTTTTACAGGCTTTGCTACACTCCCAGGATACTTATCTGCGATGGCAGCAGCAGCAGGAAGACCTGACGGTTCAGGTTAGCCGTACGGGGGCGTGTCTGGGGTGTGCTGCTGTGCGTGTTGTGATAGCTTCCTCCCATGCATTCTTATCCCACTCCCATCTCTCCCTCGGCCCCTTCCCAGCTGACGGCTACACTCCCAGGATTCTCATCTGTGGGGGCAGCAGCAGCAACGCAGATGTGACTAACCGGGACAATCTTTTTGGGGCGTGTCTAGGGTGCATTGTCCCTGCCAGTGCCACGTATGGGCTCATTGCCCCCATGGATCAAGACCCCAAGTGGACCTATGAAATTATGCCGGTTGCCCGGTGAGTGGTTATCGTGCTTATCCACAGTATTTACATCTGAGGTGTGCTGCCCTGCCCCTGCAACTGCCACTTGTGGGCTCATTGGACTCATGGATCGAAACCCTAAATTTACCCATGAGATATTGGAGTGCCTCGGTTCTTTTATTGTAGTGTTGGGAGCCACCGTATTTAGTAGTTTCTCACTCTCTTGGGTGCTGCACCTGCCGGTGCCACGTGTGGGCTCATTGCCTCCATGGCCATGTTATAGTGATGAACCCAGTAAGTACAACTGGGGGGATTCCTGTCTCTGTCAGCCACTGCCATCGCCACTGCCAGTGTGGGGTCATTGACCCCTTGGATATCAAACCCAAGTGGGCACATGAGATAATCCCCGTGCCACGGTGCGTGCTGCTTAGGTTCTCCTGTGTGCAGCTCAGCTCTCTACCGCCCACACTCTGGCTGTAGCCTTCAGACCTACTGTATGCCTGAAACCCTGTTGTCGTTTCTGCTTTCGTTATAGCTTGCCTTCACTTTTCCAATCACTTGTATCCCTTCCCCTCCCCCTTTGTTTCCAACGTCTCTCTTGCCCAAACTTTCCCTCTGAGCAGTGTCATGCCAGATGCCGTGCTCCTATTGGACGGCACAGTCCTGATCTGCAATGGGGGAAGGAGGGGCTTCAAGGTTCTCGAAGTGATTCTTCTGCCCCGCCGTTCCAAACCACAACCCCCAAACTCTCAAACCCCCTGCTCTCACTCCCCCCCCCCCCCTTCCCCCTCCCCCCATCCCCCCCTCTTCTCCACTGTAGTCTGCTGCTCCCTTGAGCAGTGTCATGCTCCTACTAGAGGACGGCACGGTCCTGATTTGCAATGGGGGACAGATGGGCTTCCAGAGTCTCAAGTGATTATTCTGCCCCACTATTCCACATCCCAGCTCCCCCATCCCCCCTGTCCCTCCTCTCCCCCTTCCCCCTCTCTCCCCCCCCCATCATCCCCCGGCCGTGCTTCGATCCTACTACTACCCCCTTAGCTGTAACGTCTGCGGACGGAAAATACCTTAGAGAATGTAAACGCATTCCGCTGCGCCTCTGGGTAACCTCGTTTTGACCCAGTGGGTAGCAAGGCGTTATACTGGTATCAGAGCCTAGGGTTCGAATCCCAGCTGGACACATTTTCCGTGCACGGCTGAGGTCGTGGCGAGAACTCCTATGTGTGAAAATACAGCTGCGGTTGTATCCAGTCGCGAACCCAGCGAACGATCCTGGTAACCGCTGTGCATCACCAGCGAAGTCGCTGACTTGGACCACCAGCGAAACTCGAGGTCCTTGCGGGGGCCGACTCCCTGAGCCAACGAGGACGTTGGCACCAGGGGGGGACGAGTGTAACGTCTGCGGACGGAAAATACCCTAGAGAATGTAAACGCATTCCGTTGCGCCTCTGGGTAACCTCGTTTTGACCCAGTGGGTAGCGAGGCGTTATATTAGCAGTGTCATGCCAGATGCCGTGCTCCTATTGGACAGCACGGTCTTGATCTGCAATGGGGGACAGAGGGGCTTCTAGGGTCTCAAGCTAAGTTGGTACTTTACGCCAATCCAGTCCACGTACACATACATGTAACATAACGTTACGCGTACCTTACTTTACACGTACGTTACCCATACGTCCGTTGAGCAGGCCTGAATTTTTTTCTAGGGCAAAAAAAAATCCTGTGGAAAACGCGATCTAGAATTGCTACGCGACAGATCTGCGCAAAACTACCACTAATGCCTCCGATCCGCAAAGATTCCCCTTGTCAATGAATCCACGTCCTAAGTCTATTTGTCGCACCAGTAGTATGTGAGGGATCCTGGTCCTAAGATACTAGTTTAGCCTAGAGTTAGTAGGTCGGTACTAAGTCTGTTTGTCGCGCCAGTCGTATGTGAGGGATCCTGGTCCTAAGATACTAGTTTAGCCTAGAGTTAGTAGGTCGGTAGGTTAGCGACTTACACACGTGAAGGAGGGGAGAACATTCGTCGAGGGGGGTTAGCTTTGGTGGGTTAGGCAGGGTTTGTTCGCGAAATGAACGTATTCGTTGACTGGCTGGTTTGCCGGCGTGTCGAATTCGACACGCACCAGAGACAAGGTTTCGCTCATGCTAATTTTCGCGCACCTCCCTCTGACTATCGTCGCGCCTGCAGCCGTCGGCAATTTGGCTTGCTACTACAATATTTGTATGTAAACAAGTTTTTACACAAGATAGATTTGCATCCTCCCGTAGAAAACTTCTCAGGGCAGCCAAAAACGTTTGACTGCCCGCACATGGAGGCACGTAAACGTATGTAAAACAACGTCCGCGTAAACGTATGAAACTAACTTATGTCTCAAGTGATTATTCTGCCCCATTGTTCCAGAGCCCAGCCCCCCATCCCCCCTGCCCCTCCTCTCCGCCTTTCCTCCTCCGGCTGTGTTTGAATCCTACTATCCCTTGCGCAGTGTCATGCCAGATGCCGTGCTCCTATTGGACGGCACGGTCCTGATCTGCAATGGAGGCAGGAGGGGCTTCCAGGGTCTCAGCCAGGACTACGCTAGTGGGGACGTGAGGACTCCCGTTATCTACAGGCCCAACAACCCTGCTGGCTCCTGGTAAGAGTTTATCCCCCCCCTTATTTTTCCTTGAAAGGTAGTTATCTACAGGCCCAACAACCCTGCTGGCTGGCTTGCGGTACGTGTGAGCAATCATGGAACCAAGCTCCAGCAGGGTTAAGGGTAGATGCATGCACCACAGTGCTCGGATGCGAGGGAGGGAGGCAGGTGGAGTCTTCAGGCGGCTCTGGAATAGTCCCTTTCCCTCTCAACCGCCCCCAAGATTCAGCTGTATTTTGTAAGAGGCACGGCCGAATCTCCTCTGTCTCTCTTCCCCCTTCCACAGCTTTTGGCAGGTGCCAGAGTCGAGCCGCTATTGCACGTGTACTCCTCCTCCGGCCGGCTTCTCTTTCCTCTCAACCACCCCATCACTCTGCTGTATGCCTGAGAGGACCTGATCAGAACTCCTTCGTCTTCCTTCTCGTTCTCCCACCCTGCATATTCTGGCAGGTACCGCAATCCAGCCGCTATGCCCGCTATGTCCGCCCCTGATCTGGGACATCTCCGTGCTCATTTCCTCGTCTAACCACAGGAACCCCCCACCTCTCCCCGTCTCCCTCTTTTCCCTACTTCCAGAATCTGGCAAGTAACAGAATTCAGCCAATATGCCCACATGTAGCACTCTTCTGCCTTGCTGCTCTAAGATGGCATGGCTCCATGCTCACTTCCTCGTCTAACCTCAACAACCCCTTCTCTTCTCATCCCCCCCCCCCCCGCCCCCCCCTCCCCCCGCCCGTCCCCCTCGCAGAATCTGGCAGGTGCCAGAGTCAAGCCGCTATGCCTGCATGTACCACTCCTCTGCCCTGCTCCTCTGGGACGGCTCCGTGTTGCTTTCCGGGTCTAATCCCAACGGCTGCCTCACCACCAGGGGAACTTACCCTACACAATTCGCTGTTGACCGATTTGCCCTGCCATATCTGCAGCGGGGGGTGCCTAAGAACATTTTATGGAAGGTGGGCCGAGAAGCAGGGTTGAGTACGGATAAGTACGGTTGAGGGAGTGGTAAAGGTGGCTTGAGTGGGTAACGAACAAGGTTAAAAAAAATGGCGTTTTTTTCAGATTTAGACCATTTGCTACGGTACCGTTTTTTTCGGTCGTTTTAAACGGCTTAAAACGGTTCTGAAATTTAACCTTTTTTTTGTTGAAAAAAACGGTCGTTTTATACGGTCAAATTTTTAAAACCGTGGGAGAAGTCCGCGGACCATGGGATCTCGGCGTGGGAGAGGGGGGAGGGGTTGGGGGGGGGTCGGCGGAGGAGGAGGAGGATGACGAGGACGACGAGGACGACAAGGAAGAGGAGGAAGAGGAGGAGGAGGCCGAGGAAGAGGACAAGAAGGATTCGGGGGAGGAGGAGGAGGAGGAGGAGGAGGTGGAGGAGGAGGAGGAGGAGGAGGAGGAGGAGGAGGAGGAGGAGGAGGAGGAGGAGGAGGAGGAGGAGGACGACGACGACGACGACGACGAGGACGAGGAAGAGGACGAGGAAGAGGAGGACGATGATGAGTAGGGGGGGAGGAGGAGGGGTAGGAGGAGGGGTAGGCGGATGAGCAGGAGGATGGGTAGGAGGTAGTGTAGGGGGGAAATAAGTAGTAGGAGGAGGAATATGTGGCCGATTCGAGCTTTGGCGGACCTATTTAGTTCAGTTAGGACCCCTACTATGCATGCCATAGCCACTAATAGTCGTCCATTTTGTCCCCTTCTGTCCCTTTTTTTTTTTTCTTTTTTTTCCTTTTTAACAATTTGGGGAAAAAAAACCCTATTAGAAAAACGGCGTTTTTTAAATATAAAAACCGTTTTAAACGACCGAAAAAAACGGCCTGCCGTTTTTTTCAACCTTATGAATAAGTGGAGGGGATGCGTTTCGCCCCACCATATCTGCAGTGGGGGGTGCCCAGGAAGATTCTATGGAAGGTAAGTGGGGGGGTTGCATTTTTTATGGTCAAGTTGAGTGAGGGAGTGTGGCAGAGTGACTTTAAGCTCCTGACAAATATTTTAGGGGTGATTGCGGGGCTGTATAGGTTGGGAGAGGAAAGGGCAAACGAAGGGCAAGCAGGGTTGAAGTGAGTGAGATGAGTTGGTTGGAATAGAGGGGGCGAGTTATTGCCTCCACATGTTGTTTCCTACCATTCTTGTCCTCTACAGCTTGCCACCACACTCATCCCTTTTGTTTTCTCCCCTTCACGTTCCACCCTGATGTGAATCCTATCACGTTCCACCCTTTCAGGTACTGTCCACAATTGCCATTAACTCCCTCTTCCCCGTATTTGTCAACACTTCTGTCATCTCTTCCCCTTCGATCACTGATGAGCCGTACTCATCCACTCAAGCTTGCCAATGTATTCATCGCTTTGCTTTCTCTCCCCCGTCTCCCCCCTCCACCTTCCACCCTTCAGGTACACTCCACAATCGCCTTGAACTCCCTCTTCTTTGTCCGCCTCAGCACCTCTGTCATCTCTCCCCTGTCGCTGCCTCGCCTTATCGACCACTTTCAAGCCATGCCCGCCCACTCAAGCTCGCTGCCGTATCCCTTTTGTTTTCTCCCTCCCATACTCTTCATCCTTCAGGTGCCCTCAACAATTGCCTTAAACTCCCTCTTCTCAGTCCGCCTCAACACTTCTGTCATCTCACCCCCGTCGCTCCCTCGCCTTATCGACTGCTTCCGAGCCGTTCTTGTCCATCCGGGCTTTTCCACACACAGCCAACGCATGGGTATGCGGAACGTGGTGCTCGATATATCAGCGATGTGGATTTCGCCAAACAATCAAACTATAACAGCTGCAATACGAGCATTTCTAACAGCAGCATTGCGCCGCCTAGCATCTACTGGTTACATATATTGGATCAAGGTGGTTATCGTGATGCCAATGGTGCTTGGCTGCCTGGAAAGTGGGTGCCGAGTGTTGAAGGTCAACCAGTAAGGTTGACATAGATAAGTTCAGTTTTAGGAGATATTTGTGAGAGTACGACCCCGTTCCATTCCTCTCCCCTTTCCATATTCCCTTTCCATTCCATTCCTCTTTTTATCTCATTCCATTTGGTTTCCTATTCTCCATTTTCAAGTATCCTTTTGGTTTATCCTGCTATTAAAATTATATCACCGACCAGGCTTGGGATGTACTGGCGCGCTATATCTAGCGTAATCCTGCCGTAATCCTGCTACTCTTTTTGGACCATGCACAACTGTCGATAACTTCTCTTCCACAATTTTCTTCGTCACACCTGCAGTGGACCAAAACAGTAGGCAACACAAAATTTTTAAGAGTTTTTTGGTGTATCGTCCAATACCTACCTCCGACCGCAGCACTCAGGAAATTTTCGGAACGGGCTAAGTGGGGAATTCATATTGGCATCGAGAAGCAGTTTTACGCACTGAAATTTATTGATCTTCGCACGAGTCAAATCGTACCGGCACGTGATTGTCTTTTCTATGAACAACTCACCTTACCTATTTTTCGTGCTCACCAGGCAGCAGCTGCCAATCATGCCAGGCTGTTCGAAGGCTCGCGTGCTTTTGCTACCGACCGAAGCAGATGTACAGGATGAACCCGTCGCTGAGTCTTCCGAAGCTGCAACAGACATCCCCGTGCCAAGCATGTCAGCTGGAACTGCCGAGTTTATCCCGCTCAGCGAAGCAGACTCTGAAGATGTCCGCGATGTTGTTCTTGATTACGAACGTGGTCGTCAGCAGCAGCCAATGCCCGTTGTCTCCGAATCAGCTATCCGTGTAACACCTGAAGAATTTGGGGGGGAACAGGGGTTAGAACACAACTTCTCCGGTGTCAACTCAAATCGTCCTCGTTTTACTGAAAATGGATTACAGGTTTTGGGACTTGTGGTCGCAGTACAGTCAAACAACAGTAAGATTCTCGAGCCGAAAACAGTTTGCCAAGCTTTGACAAGTCAACACAGGGAAAAATGGCGAGAAGCCATGGACCGAGAGTAAGCAGCTCTGGAAAAGAGAGGTACCTGGGATCTAATCGCGCTGAAGGAAACAAAGACAAAGGCTGATGATTCCTTCAAAAATTTCAAGGCTCGAAGGGTCGTTCGCGGATTCGAGCACATTTTTGGACTTGACTACAAATTAACCTTCGCTCCCATCGGCAGACACACTGGTGTCTGCATCCTCCTTAGTATCGCGGCCTACCGAAACTTCAGACTTCGCCAAATTGACGTCGCCAATGCATTTCTCTATGCACCTGTCGACGCACAAATTCTGGTTGAGTACCCGCATTCTTACAAAACTAACCCTCTCAGCGTCTGCCATCTCAGAAAGTCTCTCTATGGCATTAAACAGGCTCCATGACTATGGCAGCAGTATCTTCACAGTCAGTTATTATCTGCCGGATCTCGCCAGTTACCGCATGACCAAGGAATGTATCTACTTACCGCCGGTCTTGACTACATTCTACTCGTCACCTATGTCGACAATTTACTCTACATCAGTACCACCGATTCCCTCACTACTGTTTTCTAACAGAAACTTCAACAACATCTACATATCACTATCACCCCTACAATCACACAGTTTTTCGGCCTTAACATTCACCGAATAGTAGCGGCTATTCATCTTACGGCTTCCAAGTACGCAGCTACACTAGCCGCACGCTTTAATCTCACACCTTCAATTGTAACCACACCTTACCGATCTCTACCTACTGACCACAAACCCGATACAACTCCACTCGACAACACTGTACTATAGCTATATCAGCAGCAGCTGGGTTGTCTTCTTTTCGCAGTAGTAAGGTGTCGTCCGGATCTCGCCTATGCCGCTTGCCAGCTCGCGCAATTTCTACGTCTACCTGAGGGAGAGAATCGGCTAGATTTTCTTCGCGCTCTTCAATATTTCATTTCGACGCCTGAAGTTGGACTTACCTATCAAGTCCCAACTACAAAAACTCTATACCTTAACGGGTACGTTGATGCTAACCATGCAGCACATACCTCGAATCGTCGATCTCGCACCGGCTTTATCTACCGTCTCGAACCTATCGGCACTATCTCGTGGAATTCTACAAAGCAAGAGCTGCTTGCACAGCTACTCACGAAGGTCTCTATCTACAAGTGCTACTGGAGGAAGCAAAATTGACGACAAGTACACAATTCACCGTGCAGTGCGACAACCAATGCGCAATCAAAATTGTGCATCAACCTGGTTTCGCCAACAGGACAAAACACATTTTTCTACGATATTTCTTCGTCAAAGATGAAGTCGAGAAGGGAAGAATGCGATTGGTCTACTGCTCGACTAGTGAAATGGCTGCAGATTTCCTCACCAAGAAGCTGACACGTCAAAAGTTCCAATACTGCAACGAACTCTACGGAATTATCAAGAAGTGACACTATCGGACTTCCAGAAATGAAGGGGAGTATTGTGATAAATTCTTACTTAAGCATTTCTGTAAGTAGTTCTGATAGATATTGTCGAGTTACACTGTATTTAGCATCCATAGAATGACGTCAGCAAATAGCGCTCTTCAGTCACGCGAACAGTCGTGCTCGTTTCAGTAGCGATTTGAGCGCATAGCGCAAATAGTTTTGGACAAGTACATTACCGAACAGGTACTTCTAGCAGATATAAGAGTAGCTTGTATGACTTATGTTATTAACTTGTTCTTGAGTAAATTCTTGTCAACACTTACAAGTTCTAAGGCTTCCGCTGTCTTACTAGTCTACCATTCCAGGAAAGATCCTTGATTAAGTCTTGAAGTATCACAAGGCTATAACACTGATTCTGGCTGTTATTGGAGGTGCTTCCAGTATTACTTTCTACTTCAAGTACTTCCACCTTACAATTAGTAATTCCTTACTGAGGCTTCATACAAGGCATACGACTCGAACAGTCCCGAACCAGCGATAGGGTTCCAGACCTTTCAATTGGAGCCTCTTGGGCCTTTCCGGGCCTCGCTTTGACACATCGAGGCCCTTCGACACTTTTCCCGAACATTCCGATCCTACGTCCAAGATCGCCCTAGGTTTCCCATATATTGTATTGTCTTTCATTTTATTGTCATTCCCTCGTTCACAGTTTCACCATTGCTGCACCGCAAGCATCTACAACAAAGGAAGGAGAGTCCAGCTACTCAACTGGGATGATACAGGAGATATCACAGTGGAGACACTCGCCAGATTCGAGAAGGACGTCAAGCGAACCGACACCAGATTCCTGGCGATAGCAACAGAGGTGGAAACCGACAGATAGAAGACCTCCGAACCTCCAAGAAAAATCAAGGAATTACTTAAGGAGTTCCAAGACATTCTCCCTGGCGGCCTTCCGAACGAGCTACCGCCATACCGAACGCATCAACACGAGATCGTGGAGGAACCAGGTTCGAAACCGACCTTCCGAGCACCATATCGGCTCAGCCCCACAGAGTTAGCCGACATGAAAAAACAAATCGAGTATCTCCTCGCCAAAGGACTCATCCGACAATCCACTTTACCATACGGTGCCCCAGTACTCTTCACATCGAAACCGGACGGAAGCCTGCGCATGTGCATCGACTACCGAGCTACGTCAAACTATCCAAGAGCGACTTCGTCCTCGAGAAAGTCCAATGCCTCGGACATA